GAGAAAAAGAAAACAAAAAGGATACACGTAGTAAAAAGTAACAATGGTAAACTGTCCCTCCACAATCAGGTCACAATCAGGTAAAGGACTCTTGAAGACACTGATTCTTTTTTTTTTTTTTTTTTTTTGACAGGCAGAGTGGACAGTGAGAGAGAGACAGAGAGAAAGGTCTTCCTTTGCAGTTGGTTCACCCTCCAATGGCTGCCGAGGCCTGGCGTGCTGCGGCCGGTGCACCACGCTGATCCGATGGCAGGAGCCAGGTACTTCTCCTGGTCTCCCATGGGGTGCAGGGCCCAAGCACTTGGGCCATCCTCCACTGCACTCCCTGGCCACAGCAGAGAGCTAGCCTGGAAGAGGGGCAACTGGGACAGAATCTGGCGCCCTGACCGGGACTAGAACCTGGTGTGCTGGCACCGCAAGGTGGAGGATCAGCCTAGTGAGCCACGGCGCCGGCCTGAAGACATTGATTCTAAAAGTGACAATTTCACTTCTATAGCTTTCATTTTAGGTGCACTATTAATTCTCCCAAATCAGGGAGAACATATGGTGTTTGTCTCTTTGGGTCTGGGTTATTTTACTAAGTATGAGGTTTTCCAGCTTGCTCCATTTTGTTGCAAAGGACTGGATTTCATCCTTTTTTACTGCTGTGTGGTATTTCGTAGTGTACATATCCCACAATTTCTTTTTCCAGTCTTTGGTTGATGGACATTCAGGTTGCTTCCATGTCTTAGCTATTGTGAATTGAGCTGCAATAAACATGGAGGTGCAGATAGTTCTTTTGTTTACTGATTTCATTTCCCTTGGGTAAATTCCCAGTAGTGGGATGGCTGGATTCAGATTTCTGGGTCTCTCCATACTGTTTTCCACAGTGGCTTTACCAGTTTACATTCCCACCAAAGTGGGTTAGGGTGCCCTTTTCCCCACATCCTCTCCAGCATTTGATATCCACTTGTAAAGTATGAAGCGAGACCCCTACCTTGCACCGTATACAAAAATCCACTCAAAATGGATTAAAGATCTAAATCTATGCCACAACACCATCAAATTAATCGAGAGCATAGGGGAAACCCTTCAAGACATTGGCGCAGACAAAGAATTCCTGGAAAAGACCTCAGGGGCACAGGCAGTCAAAGTCAAGATGAATTGGGATTTCCTCAAATTGAGAAGTTTCTGCACAGCAAAAGAAACAGTCAGGAAAGTGAAGAGGCAACGGACAGAATGGGAGAAATTATTTGCAAACTACACAACTGATAAAGGATTAATAAAGGACTAATAAAGGATTAATAACCAGAATCTATGAAGTGATCAAGAAACTCCACAGTAACAAAACAAACAACCCAATAAAAAGATGGGCCAAGGACCTTAACAGGCATTTTTCAAAAGAGGAAATCCAAATAGCCAACAGACACATGAGAAAATGCTCAGGATCAGCCATCAGGGAAATGCAAATCAAAACCACAATGAAGTTTCACCTCTCCCCAGTTAGAGTGGCCCTCAAACAGAAATCAACAAACAACAAATGCTGGGGAGTGTTTTTAAAAAATGGAGCTGGGTCTACTGGACAGCCACACAGAAAGAACAAATCTTGACCCTTGTACCATGCATAAAATTAAATTTTAGAACATTTGTGTACATAAACATGAGAGATTACACAGCAAAGCTTCTCCAAGGCAACCTAGAACATCCTTATGACCTGGGCTAGGCAAAGATTTCTTAAGGAAAAGTTCCAAGTATAAGGGAAAGGATTGCTACTTTGGACTATGTTAAAATTAAGAACTTCTGATTCCTGAAAGAAATCAAGAGAGTGAAAAGGCAAGAGAGAGTAGATCTGGTGATACATATAACCAAGTTTAAGCCAGAATATATAAAGAATTTCCATGAATCAAGAGGAAAACGACAGATACAGGCACACCTTATTTTATCATGCTTTTCACATATTGCGTTTGGTTTTTTTTTTCTTTTTTCATTTTTTATTTTTTTTATTTTTTGACAGGCAGAGTGGACAGTGAGAGAGAGAGACAGAGAGAAAGGTCTTCTCTTGCCGTTGGTTCACCCTCCAATGGCCGCCGCGGCCGCCGCGCTGCGGCCGGCGCACCGCGCTGATCCGATGGCAGGAGCCAGGAGCCAGGTGCTTTTCCTGGTCTCCCATGGGGTGCAGGGCCCAAACACCTGGGCCATCCTCCACTGCACTCCCTGGCCACAGCAGAGAGCTGGCCTGGAAGAGGGGCAACCGGGACAGAATCCGGCGCCCCGACTGGGACTAGAACCCGGTGTGCCGGCGCCGCTAGGCGGAGGATTAGCCTAGTGAGCCGCGGCGCCGGCCCGGTTTTTTTTTTTCTAATTGAAGATTTGTGGAGCAGATAAGTAGATTTCCCATGTAGGTGAAAGAAGGAGATACCATCCAGGACTTTCATAGCAGGAGAGGAGGTCAGTGCCTGGCTTCACAGCTGCAAAGGCTGACCTTCCCGCCAGGAGCTAAGGCATCTGGTCACTTCAGGTTGAAGTAATAATCATTTACCATTCCCCAAACCCTACGGCCCTACTCTACCTGTGCTTTATAGAGGGGGGACAAAAGCTGGGTGACAGCACATCTGTTTACAGTATGGTTCACAGGGTATTTTCAACCCACTGTTGAGACCCAACACGCAAGACAACAAAGACTCCTTTCCAGATGTTACTGCCCACGGACAAGGCACCTGGTCACCTAAGAGCACCGAGGCCGTACAAGGAAGCTAACACAGCATCCATTGTGCTGCAGCCCATGGACCAAGAATTTCCACTTTCAAGTCACATTAGTTAAGAAAGGCATTCCCAAGGCCATAGTTGCTCTAGACAGTTATTCCTTTGATGGGTCTGAGCAAAGCAAATTTAAAGCCTTCTGAAAAGCATTCACCATTCCAGATGTCTTTAAGAGCATCTGTGATTCGTGGGAGGAGGTCAAATACCAATGCCAACAGGAGTTTGGGAGCAATTGAACCCAGAGGTCACGAATGACTTTGATGGGCTCCAGGTTTCAGTGGAGGAAGCAGCAACAGACGTCATTGTAACAGATCTGGAATTAGAAGTGGCACCTGGAGATAGGGCTGCATTGCCACAATCTCACAATACATCGCATGATAAATCATTGTAAGATGAGACGTTATTTCCTATGAATGAGCAAGGATAGTGGTTTCTTGAGATGGAACCTGCTCCTGGTGAGGATGCTGGGAACATTGTTGAAATGACAACAAAGGATTTAGAATATTACATAAACTCAGTTAATAAGGCAGTGGTAGGGTTTGAAAGAATCGACTCCAATTAAACTGTTATCAAACAGCATCAGAAATACACAGAAATCTCCATAAAAGGAGGAGTCAGTGGGTACAGCAAGCTTCATTCTTGCCTTGCTTTAAGAAACTGCCACAGGGGACCGGTGTTGTGGCATAGTGGTTAAGCCGCAGCCTGTGGTGCCCGCATCCCAGTGGTTAAGCCGCAGCCTGTGGTGCCCGCATCCCATCTGAGCATCAGTTTGGATTCAGACTGCTCCACTTCAGATCTGGCTCCCTGCTAATGCATCTGGGAAGGCAGTGGGAGACGGCCCAAGCGCTTGTGCAACTGCCACTGACATGGCATGGGGTTACTGGCTTCTGGCTTGGGTTTGGCCTAGCCCTGGCCATTGCAACGATTTGGGGAATGAACCAGCTGATGGAAGCTATCTCTCTCTCTCTCTCTCTCTCTCTCTCTCTCTCTGTCTCTTCTTCTCTCTCTTTAACTCACTTTCAAATAAATAGTCTTTAAAAAAGAAAGAAGAATGGACAAAAGATAAAATATTTACTTGATAAAGAAAGTGAGAAAGGGTGTTAATGCCTTGTCTAGGCCAACACACGTGTAGCAAGTCTCCTTGGCTTAAGCCTTGTGATCACTTTGTAGTGGCAGCACATCTGTGCTGGGAGACAGGGACAGAATACAGGAGGCCAGGACTATGAAACTGATGTTAGGGAGGGAAAACTTTGGTCACAGACTGAGTTAAAGTAGAGGCTGCAGGTGGTTGATGGGAAATAGAGCAAACAATCTGCCTCAGAGAAGACAGCCGCTGGCCTAATGCAGTGTCACAGCTAAGGTGGCATCCATAATAGATGTGACGCTTCAGAGAAATGGGCTGCACAGAAGAGGAAGGGGCAGGCTCTTCCTGCCGCGGGTGTCGCTTCACTGCATTCGGAAGCCAGCCATCCACGCCATGATGGCATCTGCTTCCTGCACGGTACAGTGGGCTCTTTGCCTAGGACACGTGTGTGCAAAGACTTGCGATTCTTCAGCACGCCGCTCAGAGCTTCAAGCAAGGAAGTCACACACCCAGGTCAACCACTGGGAGAATGGCTCAGATGAGCACTTTCTTGGGAGCCCAATGCCACCTTCAGCCCTGCCAGGCAGATTGACTGCTGATCAACATCTGCAGTGAGGGAACCTGGGCCGACACCGTGGCACAGTGGGTTAAGCTGCTACCTGCAATCCCAGCATTCCATATAGGTGTCAGTTCAAGTGTCTGCTGCTCCACTTCCGATCCAGCTCTCTGCTAATGCGCCTCAGAAAGCAGCAGAGGATGGCCCGTGTCTTTAGGCTCCTGCACCCAAGTGGGTGACCTGGCTCCAGTTTCAGGCTCCCAGCCCCAGTCATTGCAGCCATTTGGAGAATAAACCAGCAGACAGATTCTCTCTCTCTCTCTCTCTCTCTCTCTCTCTATCTCTCTCTTTCTGTGTGTGTGTGTCTCCACCTCTCTCTATATATAACTCTGCCTTTCAATTAAATTGATAAATCTTTTTAAAAATTAAATTATGGAACCAAGGCCCAAAGAGTTAAATGACTAAGGTGAAGAGAGTGCAGTAAATAGAAGAACAAGTGCTCAACTCTGCAGTTCTGTGGGTTCGAGTCCTGTGCTCTTTCTGTATTCCACATCAATCGATTGACAGGTTCAATGGTGAGGGGAGAATGGATCATGTAATATAAAAAAAAAAACCACATACCTGAAATTCCAAAGCCAATGATGAGTGCGATTGCTCCAGCCAGAATAATGATGATGCTAATAATGCTATGGAAAGAGAGAGAGAAACAGCAAATTACTTCTTTGTTCCATTTGGCACACTGCGACCTGGGCGCACGTCCACTGCGCAGGAAGATGTGCCACACAGGGCAGCTCAGCTTTCCTTGCCACAGAAGCTCCTTCTGGGATACGTTCCTCAGAAAGGAACCTCCACAGCTCATCCCCATCTCGCTGGGGCGTTGGGGTAGGTTAAAGGAGTGGCCCTTTTATTCGGTACTTACTTATTTTCTTTCTTATTTCTGATGCTTATTCTTACTTTCTTCTTTCCAGATCAGGGAAGACCATGCACAACGACTGATGAGAACATCTCTGCAGAGCCAGGTGCTATGGGGTGGGGTTGGGAGGTGGGTAATGGTCCATACCCAGGCTATCCCGGCATTCGTGTCCAAATCAAACTTATTCAAGAGGCTAGCGGCATGGGGGAGGGGCATTGGCCATCTTTGTCTCAGAAAAAAATTCTCTTCCCCTTGCCAGTTAGCAAGAACGTGTTGTAAGTTGGAAAGGGGAGTTGGAGTAGGCGAAGGTTAGGAAGACAATGGGCACAGTGTCAGGCAGATCCCCAAGGTTCACTTGGACCTGGGTGGGCAGCGATCCTTTTGATCTAAGACTTGACTGTTTACAGTGGGCGATCACAGTTCGTGGGTAGGCGTGGAATGAGTGGTTCAGCGGTTCCTTTGGCGTTAAAGTCAACGACGGCAAATTCCTTCCTTGCGTGATTCTAGCCATTTCCTTGCGGTCAGTCCCTGGAATCCCTCAGCACGCACTATTTGTTGGGTTAAACATGAGTCTGATTAATCTCAAGACCAGTGATTAGCTCATTCTCCAATGCTGGTGTGGAGTCTCTCAGCTGCTGGGGTCCTGAGTTGTGGGCGTCCATGCACTCATGTACGTCCACTGTGTCCCCTTAATTTGCGTCGATTTTCCTCTGCCATTTTTCTCCCTAACTCTTCCCTGAGACTGCACTCTCTACTGTTTTTTTTTTTTTTAATATCTTCTACACTAGAGCGGTCAGCTCCCTCCCTGCTCTGCTGTCTTTGAACTTCTCAGCCCATCCACCTGCTTAGATCGTTTGTTTACCTGTCTTGTCTCCTTCCATAAATGTTTAACTTCTTATCTTCACTTTGCACCCACTCACACCTAATCCACTGTACCCATGAGGTCCTCAGTGGATTGTTTTCTTGTAATAAAATAGTAAACGTGTCTACTACAGAAAGTTTAGGAAATATAAATAAGCACAACAAAATCCCCTGTAATTCCACCGTCTGGATACAGCCACTGTTACTGTTTTGCTCTGTATCCTACTCGTCTTAAATCAACAGATTAGCAAGTGAAACTGGGAAATTGCACAAATAAACAGATGAGGAAGTATTTCATGTAGTGAGTATGAGAATTGTGCGGCAGATGTTGTTTCCAGCACCATTTATGGATTATGGCATGTATCCACGCAGTACCCTTAGGAGGCGAGCAAACTTCTCATCTCCACCTCATTGATGAGGAAGCAACACAGGAGACTAAGCGTCTCTTCCTGAAATCACGTCGTTAGCCAGTGGCAGAGCTAAGATTAGGATCTGCTAATTTTGTACTCATTTGCTTCCTCTACTGCTTCCCTGGGCGTGGTGGCTCCCACGTGGGAACACGTCCCTCCACTCTACCCAGGTGAGCCCACGCTCTACAAGGGGACAGCAGCTTCAGCAGGCAGCGCAGAGGGCACAGCCGTCCCGGGAAGCTGGCCCCATGGCTGCTTGCCCCAGGGCATGCATCCCAGGCAGGTGTCCTGGGCCACACTCTCACACTGTTCACACACTCCCCACACCCACACTGAGGTTACTCAATAGGCAGGACAAAAGGAAGGCACAGGGAGGCAAAGAATGGTGGTACTGAGAGCAAAAGGAAGCGCAGGGCATTTTCCTCTCTGCCTTGAATAGGTCCATTGTGCGCAGTGCCCATGGCTCCGGGACGGCCCACTCCCAGAAGTAACAGGAATGAACAGTGCTCCTGGAGGTCAAGGCCTCCTGAGGCGCAGCCACAGAGGAGGCAGGTGAAGCTTTAATAACAGGGCACCTGCTAAATTGGTGCTTCCTGGTCTGAGTGTGGGCAAGCGGCTGCTTACACGCAGGGCAAGAGGTACCGCTGGCTTTCCTTGACCCCGGTACCAGGCAGCAGATCTGCATTTGTGGTCCAGGGCTTGCACTTACTTTGGATACATTACCTCATTTCCCTGAGACTCAGTCTTTATCTATAAAATGGGAACAAGAGTAATTTTCCATTTCACCTACGATAAAAATGTAATGGGTTGCAAGTTCCCAATTGTTACTTTGACGCTCCAGTGCCCCGACTGTGACTTTATTAGGAAATGGGATTCTTGCAGATGTAATTAGTTAAGGTGAGGTCATCCTGGAGCAGAGTGGGCTCCTAATCCGATAGGACAGGTGTCTTTTTCCAGAAGGAGGAATTTGGCCACAGCACACAAAGGGACAACACCACGTGAAGACGAAAGCAGGGATCTATCCCCGGAAGCTGGGGCAAGGGGCGGGGCAGCCTCTCAGGTACAGCTCTCAGAAAGAGCGAACCCTGCAGAGCGCTGGGCTCAGACTTCCAGCCTCCAGCCTCCGGAACCACGAACCACACACCTGTTACTGAGCCACCCTGTCACAGTATTCTGAGCAAAGTAACACAACAGGGTTGTAGAATCCACAAAGGGCTGCCCGTGTGTTACTGCTAACTATAATTTCTACCTGTAGCTATGTGCTCTTATTTCATTTTTAAAAATTTACTGTATTCTATATCAAACTGTTAGGGAAGTGGGGCTGGACAGCAGAGACACTGAATAGCTGTCCGGACACTCACCACAAGCAGGGGGCTTTTTAGAGTGTTTCGGTCAAAGCAGATGAGCCCCAGGCCCACGTTTCCCTGGCTGTCACCATAGAATCCTGCCATCTGCCAGCAACTTCTCTGTCTAAGCAGGAGTCACCTTGAGGCTTGCTCAGAACTGGCATTCCCTTGGGAAATAGCTCAGCTCCACAGCCTTGGAAAAAGAAGCAGGAACCATCAGAGAAGCCAAATTAAATAATTCCAGTCTGTTGCTTATTAATTTTTAAAAAGAGGAATAAAATATTTCACATAAGATGTTCTTGCACTGCTTTCTGGTCTTCACTTTCACAAAATCATTTCCAATAACTATGCTACAGGAAAATTGTCATGCAAAACTATGCATCCTAACCAACACATTAGAATTCAAGGTATACTTTTGTCTGTTCCTCACAACAGAATCCCCTACCCCCCTGCAAAAATTCAACATTTCTGGAGGACTCGTTCACTTGGTAAACACTTACTATATGCAAGACCTGGTGCTGGGCAATATGGGAGCAGTATGGGGATGAAGTTAACAAAGTCTGTGCCCTTAATGAGCTTATAGTTAGAATTGCAGCGTGTGCACACACACATACATCTTTGTAATTATGTGGGGCAGAATGTGATTACGGCATCAATAAGGAGAGGACCAGATTTTCCCAGGGATTCTAGGGAAGTAGGAAGTATTTGAACCTGGGGAAAACAGGGAGACTCAAAGTGCATTTCCACGAGTACTTTTTAAAAAGATTTATTTATCTATTTGAAAGGCATAGTTACAGAGACACAAAGAGAGGTCTTTCACCTGCTGGTTCACTCCCCAGACAGCCACAACAGCTGGGGCTAGGCCAGGTTGAGGCCAGGAGCCGGGAGCCTCATCCAGGGTCTCCCACGTGGGAATGTGGACCCAGGGACCTGAGCCATCTCCCACTGCTTTCCCAGATTCATTAGCAGGGAGGTGGATTGGATGTGGTGCAACTGGGACTTGAACTGGAACCCATATGAGATGCCAGTGGTGTTGTGTGCAGCGACTTTCACCTGCTATACCACAATGCTGGCCCTTCCGTGAAAAAAAAATTTAAAGAGAAAGGGAAGGGAATGATTTTATCCTGAAATACATGTATTTAGCTAATCCTTGCCCCTACCACCTCTCTGCTCAAGACAGAAAAACAAAGCAAGGGTGTTACTTCTGCCCTGGGTGGCGACAGACCCTAAGCCCCACCCTGGAGTGCTCTGGGAGTGCTGGCTTTGCAGGGTGAGGTCCTGGCTTAGTAGCCCCGAGTTCCGCTGAGTGTGCCCACCTGCCTGGCATGGCCTCATCCAGTTCCTTGCTGTGTCTTTGCTGCAGCTACTGTCGCCTTTTGCGGCACTTGAAAGACATCGGGAATCTGTTAAAATGAGCGTTCCTGAAGAGCCTCTCATTCTGTGAAATGCCACAACAAAGGTAATAGGGCTCGTGGGGGGTAAAAGGGAGCTAAGGGCAGGCCACTCCAAACCTGTGTGGCTTTGTAATTGGTCTACTAACAGAAGCGATAATTGGTCCGCCAGAGATAAGGCTGAGCGCGGGAGCACCAGAAGCTGGTGCAGAGGATATTAAACACGCACGAAAATAATGCAGTGCACACTCTGGCTTGTGGTCCTGTGAGCCCCTGGGGCTGCTGGGAGCTGGACACAAGGGGAGTATCACCCCGGGCATGCGAGGCTGGAACGTGCTTCCTGAGGGCGGGAGCCCCACGTGCACGTGTTCACTTAAAATGACAGAAAAACAAAAAGGAAAAAAAATACAGAACCGAATGCCATGCTCAGCTCTTCCCATGGAGGTGGCCATTGCACTCTACGATTTCAGCTCCTCTCACCTTGGAAAACACACATGGGAACCACACAGCTTCCATGTTACCCAGTCTGCACTACCCTGCTTTTCGACCACAGCTGGTGCTGTGAAAATGCGTATCACATGCTGGGCTAGAGACAGCAATCCCTTACGGACTGCCTTTCACCGGGTCAGAGGTTTGTGGGGTTGGTAAGACAGCAGCTGGCTCCTACGGGCCAGTTCTCTACATACGGGACCTTGTTCTATCTTCAGGGACTCAGTAAGGGACGTGCTGCTGGCGTTACCTCTCTGAGGCTTAGGTTAGATATCGTGCGGTGAAGTTCAGATGAGGCTCTCACAGACTCAGGAGCTTGCACCCCTGCTTCCATGCCTGATGGCCAAGGCCCTGAGTTTGGAAGGCTCCTCTCACCCCACCCCTGCATGTCGACATCAGCGCCTTTTCTGAAAACAAGGTGCATTGTGGATCTGCGGTACCGTGTGTGGAGCCCACAGTCAGGGAATCAAAATGCTCTTTGTGTTACTTCAGTGTTAGTAGTTTCTGTGTTCTCACGTTTCTGCCCCCTCAAATTCTGACAGAACTGAGATACCACATTCCTCAAAGATCGTTAGTGAGCTCCACTTGTGTGGGTGACAAATGTTTAAAACTCTAAAAACCAGATTAGGTTAGCAAACATGGCATTAATCTGAACAGACTCTGCTTTCAACTTCAGTGGACCGAGCAGAACATTGAGTGACTCAAGCTGTGCCACCATATTATTTTATTCATAAGCTAACAAAGTGACTAGGCGTATGAAGAATGCTGGAATGGAAGACACTTACTGCAGCCTCTCTACAAAGTTCTTCTCCTTTCTAAATGCCCCCCCCCCCCACAGTGAAAAGGGAACAGCAATTACAGCCAGCCCTCCTTATCCGTGGTTATGCATCTGGGGATTCAACCAACCACGGATCAAAAAATATTCAGAAAAAAATCTGCATCTTTACTGAACATACACAGATGTTTCTTGTCCTTATTCCCTAAACAGCATAGTTTAAAAAGTGTTTGCATATAGCATTTACATTGCATTAGGCAACGCCAGTTATCTAGAGATGATTTAGAGTATATGGGAGACTGTGTGCAGATTACATGCAAATGCTCTGCTATTTTGGGGCCTAAGTCTCTGTGGATTTTGGTATCCACAGGGGTCCTGGATTCGGTACCTGAGGATGCCGGGGAAGGACTGTGTTGTACACACTCCGTGGAACACAGTATTAGGCTTCAAGGTATCATTATCCAGCCACGTCCTGGAAGCTGATGAGTATGGGTGTCAGGGTTCTGGGCAGCTTCGATTGCTGTCTACTCCAGTTCTACAGTTTTCACTTGTTTCCCTGAAGAATCCATGCTACAGAGTGTGTTTGCTGACCCCTACCTCCCTCTCCTGTACCTCTGGTGGAGCCCAGACTAGCTTGGGTGGAAAGAGCTGAGAACAAGACTATCAGGAAGGTGCCAAGAGCAGGAGCATCAGGATGGTGAGAGGAGGGTGGAGAAGAACTTGGCAGAGAGCAGGCACCACTTCACAGGTATCATTTCTGGGCAGCTGTGGCTCTGACCGCATTGCTTTCACGGCGACGGATGGCCAGGCTCTGTGTTTGGGAAAGGATTTAGGGCGTGGTATGAAGGAAGGAGTCTTGACTGCCATGGAGTATCTGATGCATCCTCTGTTCCTTCTAGCTGCCTCCACGAATCAACAGAGTCCCCCAAAGCGCAGGAACTGAGGTTACATCATGACCTGGGTCCCAGCACCACAAAACCAGGGAACCTTGGCCAGCCAATAGGTTTCATCTTACCTGCCAACAATCATTTGAATGATTGGTGAGTGGCCTAGAACACACACACTGTGTTGGAAAAGATTGCAAGGCAGCCTTAAGGCTCACATGGAGGAGTGCTGCCACTGATTTGCCCTTTCTAAGCGAGCATGTGGGTCTCAGGTATGCTATTCCTGAGTCAGCAGCGACCCATGAAAGGGTTCTTAGCTGACTACTAACCACAAAACTAGCAGAATCTTGGGCTAATGTAGCAGAAATGCCATGACAACACAATGGCAGTAGTAGCCAGTAGTCTGTGTGTGATGTTGGCCCATGCTTTAAGAACATGGATTAACATTCGTCTTTAAGACAGAGTCTCTCAACCTCATACTTGAACTGTTGGACTGGAAACTTCTTTGTTGTCGGAGGCTGTCTTGTACATTTAGCAGCAACCCTGGCCTCTACCTTCTGGTTGACAACACCACCCTTTCCCCTCTAGGGACAAACAAAAATGTTTCCAGATGTGCCACCTGGATTGACAGCCATTGAGCTAGAAGAAGGGGGACCAGAGAGAGTAGTGGTGTCACTAGAAGGTATGCTTTTTGAAAAATCACTGAAGGGAATGGGAGTGGCTTAATTTAAAGAAGACTAAAAGGAGCGATGCCATTTCAGTATTGGAAAGGTGCCACCTGGGCCCATGTTCCATCACTCTGGAAGAAACAAAGCCAGCAGGTGAATGCACTAGGAGATTGGAAGGAGGTGAAATACACAGATAGGCTTTGCAACAGATCCAGCCATCCACCGGCCTGAGATACCTGAGATCCCAACCACGGGATGCATGTGCAGAAGGGGGGCCACTTAGGAAGAAGAGTGGGTAGGGAAGAGTTTCTAGCACCAGATAAGGAGTGGAGCAACTTTGAAAGCCCCCTTTCGAGCAACAGCTCTCTATAGAGCTGTGTCATCTGATGACTGGGGGCTTGCCTTCTGCCTTTGCCATCACTGCATATGCTATATGTGCCCCCAAAAGCCTTCGTTAATCACGTAACAGGGATTTCCTGAGTGCGTGGCCGCATGTGTGTCATGAGACCCCCCACAACTACTCTACGAGATAGAGACTATTATTTTTGTTCTACAGATGCGAGAGATGAGGCTTCATGTTATATAACTCCCCAAGGTCTCTCCCCCTGGGAAATTATGGCAAAAGTGGACTCAGTTCTGAGACACCATCATCATTGGTCTTGGTTATTAGGCTGTATTTTATATTAATCCCACATTTCATAAAACTTGGGGCTCAAGTTAGTTGGCAGGCATGTATTTTATGTAGGTATAACCTGTGGAAGGACACCACACAGGGGTTTGCATAGATTGAAAAAATTGAATCTTCCCTAAGAGGTATCTTCTGTCTGAGACTCTGGAGGGGAGTATCAGGTGGAAAAATCGAGATTGTTAACAGGTACCTTTTCCTAAACGATATTCGAGTCGGTAGCAGCTGAGATGTGATTTTATTCTTAAGCCTGTCCTATTTATAACTGTCGCCCTGATTGCCATGAAGCTCCCCTTAGCATCGCATCAACCTTGTGCACACTCTTTCCACTGGCACCAGCACGGGAGACAAGAGTCAACACAAGGCTGATTGCGAGTGGGTTTCCTAATCAGACCTGTGAATCAGCTCCTGATTCTCAGTGCACAGAAGCAGCAGTTGCAGGAGGTTCCTCGGGCATTATAACTGGTCCCATTGTGTTGGCTAACAAGCGCACTTCACACCTTTTACGACCCTCCCACGACGTGAAGTGCCTGCACTGTTGGAAAAGCCACTGGGAGTCCCACAAGCACTGGGTGTGGTCCATGCCTGATTGTACGGCTTCCAAACCTGAGTGTAGGCGAGATTTGCAGGTCACTCACCAGCACCCACAGCGAGCTCTGGCCCCCAATGAACACTTCGTTTTTGTGATTGGCTACTCTCCCCTTCACTCACAGCCTCCCCCCACGTTGTCCGGGCCTCTACCGGCCTCTTTCACAGTTCCTCCTCCAGCCCAGGCCCAGAGGAGGGCAGGAGCACAGCTCCCGGAGGGCCTGATCATTGCTGCAATGGGTGGGGGCTGCGGTGAGGGCCCAAAGGAACCAATCGTATAAATACTGCTGCTGGGTTTACATCCTAAAGTTCCTCTGAGTTTTACCCCTCCATATCACCCCATATGTCAGTGACTCCTGAAGGGTTTGAGACCGTCCTAACTCAGCTCCAGCGATTTCTCCAGCCCGTCTGCCCATCGGGAGCCCTGTACTCTGTTCACTGTCTCCTTTCCTCTCTGCCTAGACCAGGCTCTCTCTCAAGTTAGCAAAAGCGAGTCCAGTCAAGGCCCAACCCCGCTCTTCCCTGCTTCATTTGTCTTCCCCAAAGGACAGCGTGGAACGGCTCTTTCCTTGGTGGATTTAAGGGAGTGGGGTGGAAGCTGGGTCCCAGATGGCTGGGAGGGCGTGGGGTTTGCACTGGGGGGTCAGGAAGGCAGGCGTCAGACCTGGGGAAGGCTGAAGGGGAAGGGTAGGGCAGGCTCCCTCCCGGGAGAAGGCATTAATCATCCTCCCCACCAGGTACCTCAGGGACCGGGGCCTCAGGCAGATGGCTGGCCCCAGCGAGCCAGGGACCTAGAATCCCGATGCCTCGCAGCTCCCTAAAGCCACACCAACTGACTTCTCATTCCTTTCTTGCCTTCGGGAAACCGGGGGCTGTGGCTGGGGAGATCCAGAGAAGTGCTGGGGCTGGTGGTCGTGGTGCAGCCAGCCATGGCCAGCCAGCCTCACTCTGGCATCAGTCAGTTCATTGTTTAATCTGTTAATGAAGCTGAAAGCAAGGGTGTCACCCTCAGCGCTTCTCTCTGCCCAAGCGCACGCACCTGCAGTAGGCAGCCCGGCTTCTCCGTGTTCTGAGAGGGGGCACAAGGTCATATTTGGATGCTCCAAACCCTCTCTTTTAGTAAGACCAGAACTATCTTCCCAGGGAGAAGCAGGTCAGAGAATCCTGGCGATCAGAAACGGATCAATGGCTCCGTCCTCCCTGGTCCTAGCAGGAGTTCTGCTGCAGGTCTCGCCCATGTCCCCCTGGTTTAGACCTGGACACAGTTCTGCAGGTGTGGCCGAGCAAGGCTCCAGAGGACTGAGGCGTGACAGTCAGGATGCCTGGCACATTCCTTGAGGGCTTGGCCTGCCTGGGCCGAATTCTCCAGCGGCAGACCCTGGGGCTGCTCTGTGCCTATGCCGACCTCTGCCTGCCCACGCTAAGGACGGCAGTGGGGAGACGCTGTCTGTCC